ACAGTGTCCTCGTTCCTCCTCAAAGAATATACATAACAAGCTGATGTGTATCTTTAAGCTTTTCTATAGGAACTAAGGCCCACACCCAGATGGAGGATGGTAACTACATGCTAAGATCCCAGACTAGTCAGTACCTAAGAAATGATGATGTTGACCTTTCCTGACCCTCCTGACTTCAATCAACTAAGACTTGGACTTCGTTGACCTCTGCCCCAATTCTATGCTGAATTCTCCTCTGCTCAAGCCCCTTTATGAATACGCATATACCCTTAGCTTAAAACTTCCCCAATTTTGCTGTTAACAGACACTGCTTTGGGAAAGCTCCCCAGTGTTCGCCTTACTTGCTGCAAGTAATAAATCCTTCCTTCTCCCCATCTTTGGCTTGATTGTTTCTTTTGGCTCAGCACCCACCAAGAGGCAAACGCAGTTTTCGGGTAACACTTCCCGTGGCAGGCAGGGTCTGGCTGGGCCAGGCTGACCTCCCAGCCCATTGCCTGCTTCCCCCCAACTCACTCCTCTAAGGTCATACTGGCCACATTGGACAGTTTTCCTTTTCCTAACCACACAGAGCCTTGCACTTGCCAGTTCCTCTGCTCGGAATGCGGTTCCCCATCTTGCCTCAGAACTGGCTCCTCCCCATCTTCCAAGTCTCCCCAGCAGGGCCTCCCATGACCACCCTGTTAGAAGTGGCCACCTGCCACCCCCACTCCGCCCCGTCCTCTATCATGTTGACTGCTGTCCTCACAGCACCACCCGCTAGAACAGTACTAAATAAATATTTTGCCTGAATTTTTATATGAAAATTTTCTTCTTTTACTGCTTTATAGTCTACCTCCCCAGCTAGAATATTAGCTCCATGACGGCAGGACATTGTCTGTCTAGTTTGCCACTGTATCCCCAGCACTTGGAACAATGGATGGCACATGACCGATTCTGAACAAATGAACGAGTCCCTTGATAGATGGGACTCTGCCCCCCAGTCCCTGTCTTCTCTGCCTGGGGTTGGAGAGTGCCACACTTGTCAAACCCAGGGAAGACACCGTCTCTAGAACAGGGGGACACAATGCAACAGTTAAGAACATAATCTGGGTTTGAATACTGCCTCCATTAATACTGGCTTGTGAAATCAGTAAGTTGTTTAACTGCTCTGGGCCTCAGTTTCCTCATCTACGAAAAGGAGATGGGGATTTCCCTGGTGGCGCAGTGGTTAAGAATCTGCCTGCCAATGCAGGGGACACGGGTTCGAGCCCTGGTCCGGGAACATCCCACATGCCGCGGAGCAACTAAGTCCATGCACCACAACTACTGAAGCCCGCGCACCACAACTACTGCAGCTCGTGTGCCTGGAGCCCATGCTCCGCAACAATAGATGCCACCGCAATGAGAAGCCCACGCACCTCAATGGACAGCAGCCCTTGCTCGCAGCAACTAGAGAAAGCCTGTGCGCAGCAAAGAAGACCCAATGCAGCCAAAAAATATATATAAATTAGTAAATCTATAAAAAAATAATTAAAAATAAAAGGAGATAATAATAGAACATACTTGGCAGGGTTGTTGGGAAGATTCAGTGAGATCATGTATGAGCCTGGCACCTGGTACGCAGTAAGAGGTTAGTAAGTGCTGGCCAGTGTAATTGCTCGCAGCGATGTTCCCGGCCCATTTGCCTGTCCCATAGAGAATGACAAAGCCTTGGCGCAAGAGACTGCAAGGCACTCCTGCCCATGCTGGCAGCTCAGGCTCCTCCTTCCTCAGGACATTACTCCTGTGCCATTCCTCTCCCCTTCCTGGTGACTACCAAATGCACAGAAGCTGGAAACTCACATTCACATCCAGGAAACGGAGATACTCGCGGCCAAGGGAGCCCTCAGGCAGACTCCGGAGCTTGCCCAGGTCAAGGGTGGACAGCGAGATCCGGGGACGCTCCCTGTGAGGCAGAAGGCAGGACTCAGGTATTGGGAGGGCACCAGCAAAGGCAGGTGAAAGGTCCAACTAGATCAAGGGTGTGAAAGGTGAAGGGGAAGAGAGCAGCAATGGGGCCACAAGTCCTAATGGAGCACTTACTACTGGCCAGGCCAGTGGCAGGGACTGAGGAGACTACCACAAGCTAAGGCTATGGTTCCTGCCTTAGGTAAACAGGCCTCAGATGTGATCAGGGTATTCACAAAGGGCACTGAGGGGTGGGGGTTATAGGCAGCATATGTTATGGGACCTCAGTGAAGGCACAAGAGCCCTGTTGCTGGAACTGGGCTGAGGCCACCATATTGCACTACCCAGGGGTCATCACAGTGTCTATGTGAATGGCACCCACGGAGTTGGGCAGTGCCCGGCCTGTGCAATCATCCATGGCCAAGGTATCAAGAAGAGCTCTCTAGAGGAACACAACGTGATTCCAGAGAGACCAGAATCCCCAAAGAATGCCCTCAACCCCCCAGGCAAAGCTGGGACCTACTGCAGGATCTGGGCGCCCTCCGGATCCCTCCTCATCTGGTCCCTGAGGACCTTCAGGGTACGGCATCCTGTGGTCTCCCCCAGAACTGCAACCATGTCTGAAAGGAAAGAAATGGGGACAAATGGAGAATATGATCTTAGGTAAGTTACCTGACCTGGCCTGAGCCTTAATTTCCTACACGATAAAACAGAATATCTACCTCTTAGTTATGAAGATTCAAGTTAAACACTTAGTGAATCACCCGGCACACAGTAAAAGCCCAATATATCTACAGTTACTACTATGGTTGTTAGTTTCAGGGGTGAGATGGCTCTGGTTAGCACAGTGCTCTAAAGAGTTCATAAATCACTTCCACATCCATCATCACGACAGAATACCATGTCTCCATGGATGGGTATAGGCTTTGGTATCAGAGAGTGCTGGGTTTGAGGGCTGGTGTGATCACTATCTAGGTGACCGTGTGCAAACTGCTTCACATTTCCATGCCTCAATGTCCTAATTTGTGAAGCGCAGGTGATACCTTTCATATAGGGTTAATGCGAAAAATCAATCACAACATTCATATAAAACAGCACACTGAGTAAGCAAAACAAGGGCTCAGTGAGCAGTTAGCATTATCGTTTTTACTAGAAGGAGTAACAGTACTTTCCAGACTTCAGAATCCTGGAGGAGATGAGAAAAACACTGTAGGATCCCAAAATGTTCTATTAAAACAGCCAGCAAACATTTATTGAGCATTTATTATGCGCCATGCACTATCTAAGATGCTAATGGGATGCTATAATTTGATGGGCCCTCATAAATCATCTAACCCAGAGGTTCTCAGTGTGGCTGGATGACAGAATCTCCTAGGAAGTTTAAAAAGTTTAAACTTTTTAAGTTTAAAAAGGCAGAAGCTCAGATTCCACGCCCCTTCCTCCCTCCCCTCCCCTCCTCTCCCACTCCCGGCAGATTCGAATTGAGTAAGTTTAGGGTGGGACCCAGGCATCTGCATTTTTATGAATGTTGCGGGTGATTATGAGGTGCAGCCAGGGTTGGGTACCCTGGCCTAGTCTAGTCTCCAGTTACCCAAAGCAAACGGAGGCTTTGACAGTGTCCGGGACCTCCCCGGGCTTTCAAGGCAAGGCAAGGGCCCGCCCAGACCCCAAGCCGCCCCAAGGAAGCGCCGGCGTGGGCTGCCTTACCGTGGCGATACGGGTCATAGAGCGCCATTCCAGCAGAGCCCGCGGCCAGCAGCGCCTTCTGCAGCGGGGAGGTGGGGATGTGTTCGGGGTAGAGCAGGCCGGTGCCATGGCTCGTGGCTCGAAGGGGAACATCTGCGGGGAAAGAAAACAGCCGCGGTGAAAGGAGCGGGGTGGGGTGGGGGGGACAGCGACGTGGCGGGTCCCCAGCACTCCTTCCCGGCCCCACCACTTGCCTGCAGCGGGCCAGGGACGGCTTCGGAACGCGCGGAGCGGGGGCAGGACCCCGCGCAGCAGCGTCCTCATGGCAGCGGGCACTGTAGGACTTCCCAGGGAGGATGGGCGGGGCAAGGCCGACTCCTCAAGCTCCTTTGGCGACGACGCGCAGGAAAAGTCACAAGGACTCGATCCCTACTGCGCTAAGTAGGGCCTTTTATGCGGGAAAGATAGCACGGACAGGGAAGGTCTCTAAGTATGAGGAAACCCAGGCAACCTACTTCCACAGATATAAAATTCTCCCCGTTTCACCTAACCCCAAAAAGTGTCTCCAAGTAAGCTCCGCTAGCTTTGGGGGTTCAGCTCCGGACCCTACTCCCTTCTCGGAAGCACGTTTTCCCCGAGGACAATAAGACAAGAACCTCTTCCGGCTGTGAAACATGGCGGCGCCCATTGGAAGGACCACATTTGGGAGCGGGACCATAAGGCACTTCCGTCCGGGTTCAGCTCTTCCGCGAACCCGGGACACGGGCTTCAGGCATGGGGTTAGACGGCCCGGCGCGGCTGCATGGGCTCTTCGCCGCCTACAAGCCCCCGGGACTAAAGTGGAAGCATCTGCGCGATACCGTGGAGCTGCAGCTTTTGAAAGGTGAGTGCCTCTAGCGAGACCCACGATCCCGCTCCCATTTTCCCAGGAGGCCATCTACGCTTCTGATCCTTGCTGCAAAATAAAGTCATGTGACCTAGTCTTCTGGGCAGAGCGGTTTCCTAATCGACTGTTCTATACACTCCTCGCCTTCCCCTGTGTTCATATGGGTAAACAGACTCAGTATTGTCCGTTGTCATAAATAGTTAATAAGTAGTAAAGTCAGGATTTAAACCCAAGTCTGTTTCTTAACTTCTGCTTTCAGAAGTAGAGTACTCTAAAATCTCTAAAACCCCTTGGACAGAAGTAGTCAGTGAGTTTACAGTATAACAACAATAACAAGTATAATGTGTTAAGGAACTACTCTGTACTAGGCGCTGTGTGGGCTTTCATTTGTCTTCTACATTTCCATACTTACCTGTCCCTCTATCCCCCACCCCCGGTGTTCAGACAGAATCGACAAGATGTTCTTTACTTGTGTGTGCTCAGGTCTCAATGCTGGGAAGCGTCCTGCCTCTGAACATCGTGTTCGCTTCCTGCTGGGCCCCGTGGAAGGCAGTGAAGAGAAGGAGCTGACCCTCACAGCCACCAGTGTGCCCACCCTCATCGACCATCCGCTGGGTAAAGCACATTCAGGAAGGGGCCTGGATGTCACTTCCCAGGAAATCCCTGCCCAGAGTCAGTGTCCTAGCCAGAGCTCAGACTCCTTCTGTCCCAAACCAGTGTAGGGCCACAGTGGGGATGAAGTATTTGACCAGGGATTGGCAAAATTTCCTGGAAAGGGCCAGATAGTCAATATTTTAGGCTTTGCAGGCTCACCTCTGCCGTAGTGCGGAAGCAGCAGCTATAGACAGTATGTAGAGCAATGAGCCTGGCTGTGTTCCAATAAAATTTTACTGGTGGATGTTGATATTTGAATTTCATATAATTTCATATGTCATGAAAATTATCCTCTTGATTTTTTTGAACCATTGAAAAATGTAAAAACCATTTTAATTTGTGGGCCATAAAAAAAAAACAGGCTTGAGGATTTGACTTGTGGACTATAGTTTGTTGACCTCTATTATTCTGGGACTCCAGGTAGGAATTGAGACCCTCAGGTAGAAGTCATAAGGAGGCAGTTTTGGGCTCCTGTGAAAGAGTGATTTTTTAAAAAATTTATTTTATTGAAGTACAGTTGATTTACAGTGTTGTGTTAATTTTGCTGTATAGCAAAGTGATTCAGTTATACATATATGTACATTCTTTTTCATATTTTTTTCCATTATGGTTTATCACAGGATATTGAATATGGTTCCCTGTGCTATATGATAGAACCTTGTTGTTTACCCATTCTGTATATAATAGCTTGCATCTGCTAATCCCAAACTCCCAATCCATCCCTCCCCCACTCCCCCTCCCCCTTGGCAACCACAAGTCTGTACTCTCCCCTCCCCCTTGGCAACCACAAGTCTGTACTCTGTGTCTGTGAAGAGTGACTTACTATAGTCAACAAACCTGCCCAACAGTGAAACTAGTTCTGACAATGAGCCCCTGTCATTAGACATGATTAAAGCATGCGTTGGGGAGGCTCTATAGGAGGGCTGAGGAGCTTGACCAGGAACCTCTAAAACCCCTTGGAGAGAAGTAATCAGTGAGTTTACAGTGTAACAACAATAACAAGTCTGATGTGTTGAGGACCTACTCTGTACGGGGTACTGTGTTAGGCTTTTCCCAAATACTATCCCACTGAATCCTGTGAGGTGGGTCCTAGTCCCATTTCACAAATGAGGAAACTGATGCTCAGTGTTGACTAATGTTAAGTCATGTAGCCTGGATTCAGTAGGCTCTTAACCGCCCCATACTGGTCTCCTAGGTTCCTCTTGATCTACAGAAGTGTAAAAGCATCTAGCTCATTCCTGCATTCATTCATTTTTTTTTCCAGCTTTCTTGAGGTATAGCTGATATACAAAAAAACTATACATACTTAATGTATATTAATTTGATGGGTCATTCATTCTTTCGGGAAATGGGTTATTTCCCGAGCAGTCAGTGAGTTCTGGGCTGTGGGGGCAGAACTGTGAACACACAGACCCAGACCCCTGCCTTAAGGAGCTCGCAGCCTCCATTTTCTCCCTGGGAGAGTGGCCAGGACTCTCCTTCCACAGGAGCTGGATAGGGAACCCCCCCAGTCTTGATTCCAGTGTTCTGCCCAGTCCACTCGAAGTGTCTCATGGGGGGAATGGTGATGGACGGACTTAACGGGCCCCCTGGGTTGCCCTTTCTCTGGGCCCAAGAAACTGAAGAAGTGGTTTTGGGCCCCCAATTCCTTGGTGAGGAAACCTGAAAGTCCAGCCTGATGCTGGTTTTGGACCTCATTCTAGGAATGAGGTCGCCATGCAGCCCAGAGCCATCCTGGAGGCTGGATTCTTTGAGGAAAAGGACCTCGTTTGTTTCTTTCCAGTACGTGGACCAGCATTCACCAGCCTGAAGATTGGCATGGGGCACCGACTGGATGCCCAGGCGTCTGGGGTGCTTGGTAGGTGGTGTGGTGAGCCTGGGGTGCAATGATAGAGGCTTGGGAGAGGATCGGGGAGCTCCCAGGAGCGCAGCCCATTTCTAACCTGACAGCCATTTCCCGCTACTGCTCACTCCCTTGATTCCTGCCAAGTCTGATCCCCTGGAGAGGTGACTGGTGGGAAGGGGGAAGTCGTGATCACCCACGTTTATCAAGTGATTCCTGCCTGTGACGTGTGGTTTGAAACTCTTTGTGCACATGCATTCACCATAATGACCTTATTTGGTAGATACCATATGATTTTAGGAAGAAAGTAAGGCTCCAGGAGCATAGGTAACTCATCCTGGGTCATGTGGCTAGTGAAGGTCCCTGGACCAGAGAGGGAAAACCATCATCGCTTGCATGGGGTAGCCAAGTGTGTGACCCTGACCCCACCGGCTGGGCTCTGGATGTCGCTGGAGCTGGACACACAAAGCCCTGAGTCATGAGCCATCTGTGTCCCCAGGGTCAGGCGGCGGCCACGTCCTTCATACACAACAGTCACAGCAACTTGTCTTGCTTCCTGGGACACAGGCAGGCGGACGTGATCTCATGCCCCGCTCCCTCCAGGAGTGATGGATGGTCATTCTTTCCTTCAGCCAGAGGGAGACACAGACCAGAGGAAAGGCAGGGAGTGGCCACAATGCCCCCATTTAGTTGCCGGCTTCTTCCTTTGTGTGCATTGCCTCGATCATCACAACACCCACAGGGATCAGACAGTATTTTTATGCCCATTTTACCGATGGGGAGCCTGAGACCCAAGGAGGTTAAAGGACATGCTTAGAGCCACCCCAGATGTGAATGCAGGTCTGTGTGACTGGGCCAGTGGTCTCCTACTTCTGAGTGCATCAGGACCCCAGGGAGCTTGCTAAGGGTCCCTAGGCTCCCACCCCAACACGAGTCAGAGTCAGTATATATGGGTGGGTCCCGGAAATCTGCATTTTCATATATGCACAGAGGAGCTCACTTGTTCCCTGTAGAAGAAGCTCTTCTTGCCTCCTTGCTGGCTTCCACAGCCTTGGAAGTGGGAGTATTCTGCTGGAGGGGGTGAGGGTTGGAGGACCCAGGGGAACAGGAAGGGGGACCCAGGTGTGAGACCATGCTGGGTGCCTTTCAGTGCTCGGCGTGGGACGTGGACGAAGGCTCCTCACCGACATGTACAACGCTCACCTCACCAAGGTATGGGGGCTGGGGACGGCCTGCTTATCCCTTAGCCCTTTCCCTGGGGGTCACTGGTACGATTCTGAAGCAGAGATGATGCCATGGAGAATACCCAGGCCATCAGCAAGCATTTTGTTTTTGGGTCATGTACCAAGGGAGGCTGTAACATCATAATGACAGCTGGCATCATCGCATGCTGGCTACTCTGTGCTGAGTGCTGTACGCGGACTCCCTTGCGGATGCCTTACAGCATCCCCGTAAAATGGGATCTATTGTTAACCCATTTTACAGATGAGAGAGTGAGGCTCAGGAGACGACGCTTGCTCGGGGTCACCCAGCCTTTAAGGGGCAGAGTTGGGATTTGAACCTGGTTCTGTCTGACACCGTCTGGGTGTCAGGAAGCTTACATCCATGCTGGGCTGCAGGGTCTGGCATCACGATCATGTGTGGAGACGCCACATTAGAAGGCCCGTGTTTTCAGTGGTTAAGAGCACAGATTCTGCAGCCAAGTTTTCGCTTCAAAACTCAGATTGTACCACTCTGCCAGTTCTGTCTCCTTGGGTGAATTACTTAACATCTGTGTGCCTCCGTTTCCTCATCTTTGAAATGGGAGTGATTGTAGTACCTCCTCCGTACGGTTGCTTTGAATGTTTAGTCAGTGACCATATGTAATGTGCTCAGCACAGCCACTGGCACGTGGTGGATGCTCAATCGATGTCACTGTCGTCGTCCTCTCTGTTATCGTCATTACTGTTATTGGACGCAGAGGCAGGCAGCTGCACAGATCGAATTTGGAGGGGAGAGAGAAGCTGACAGAGCATCCTGGGAGGGGCCTGGCATCATGAGTTGTCAGGTTGGGCAGAAGTGGAGAGGTGCGGAGGCCCGGGGTTGTTGCAGGGTGGCTCGGGGCACCCTTCGCAGGCTTCTGATGCTTGCTGTCATGGGAGAGGAAGTCGGGTGTCCTTCCCCAGGGGCAGCTGGGCAGGGGCTGAGCACCTGAACTCCCTGAGGGGAGACCAGAGGGCCCCCCAGCCTCAGTCTAGCGCCTCAGGGGCCTGAGCTGCTGGGCCACATCTCCCTCCTTGCCATGGCGGCTTAGAGCCGAGAGGCTGGTCATACCTCCCTCTCCCTGTCCTCGCAGGATTACACAGTGCACGGCCTCCTGGGCAAAGCCACAGACGACTTCTGTGAGGACGGGCGGCTGGTGGAGAAGACAACGTATGGTGAGAGCCCACGGGAGTCCAGGGCGGGCGGGAGGGGTGGGCGTGGCTGCCTCTTCATTTGCTTCCTTTGGTTCCTAACCCTGAGGTGGGCTGTGAGGGCCCCCGCTCAGTTATTCTCAGACACACCAAGCCGGGGCTGGCTGTTGGCACGGACGTGTGATTCTGACTTCCAGGAATGCCCTGTGCTCCCCTGTGCTCTGCTTAAATGTTATCTCCTTAAGTGGTTTCAGTGTACTGTCAGAAAAGTAATCAACTAATGATTAGTGATTATTTAATATCTGTCTCCCCACCAGAATGTCAACCATGAGAGCAGGAACTGTGTAGTTCCACTCCTGTGGTCACACACAACACAGCGCCTGGGACATGGGAGGTGCTGTATTGATGGATGGATGGATGGGTAGACGGGTGGATGCATGGGTGGGTGGATGGCTGGCTTATTCTTCATTTCTCACTCTCCCCATGTTCTTAGACGTCCTATATGATCTGTTGCATTTGCTTATTTGACATTTTTTGAGCACCAACCACGTGCCAGGCCCTGGGGGCAGGGGCCGGAGGCATATGATGAATCAGATGGGGTCCCCAATCTTAGGCCTCACAGTCTAGCAGGGAGAGCAGACACACACCTCTGCGTCTCCTGGAGAAGATTAAAAACATGTGGCGAAGCAGTGCTGTCTATATATTTGTACTTGTATGTGTGTGTCAACATCCAAAACATGTCTAAAGACAACTACCAAGTTGACACTTCTGAGAGGGAGGAAGCCAGAATTTGGAGGAGGGGAGATGTTTGTTGGTGTTGATCTAAATTTTTTGAAGAAGATTCTTGTATCAATTATATAATTAAAAATAGGACTTCCCTCGTTGTGCAGTGGTTAAGAATCCACCTGCCAATGCAGGGGACACGGGTTCAAGCCCTGGTCCAGGAAGATCCCACATGCCGCGGAGCAGCTAAGCCCATGCACCACAACTACTGAGCCTGCGCTCTAGAGCCCACGAGCCACAACTACTGCAGCCCGCGCGCCTAGAGCCCGTGCTCCGCAACAAAGAGAAGCCACCGCGATGAGAAGCCCATGCGCCACAACGAAGAGTAGCCCCTGCTCGCCGCACCTAGAGGAGGCCCGCGCACAGCAACAAAGACCCAACACAGCCAAAAATAAATAAATTTAAATAAATAAGTAAATACTATAGGGACTTCCCTGGCGGTCCAGTGGTTAGGACTGTGCGCTTTCACTGATGGGGCCTGGGTTCAGTCCCTGGTTGGCGGGGCCTGGGTCCAAAATAAATAAATAAATAAATAAAATAATGACATAAACACTAAAGAAAACTAAGTGCTGTGAAAGAGACCCAGGTGCAGAAGGAAGAAGCCACGTGCTGTAAGAGGGGCTTCCTGGAGCAGGCGGCATTTGAGCTGGGCTGTAAATGAGTGGGGAGGAGGCTGCAGCAGGCGCCTCCAGATAAGACAACAGCGTGAATGAGACCAGACAGAAGGGATGAGAGGCCCAGGCCCTTCCCAGCTGGCCAGGCCTTAGTCAGTTACCACACCTGCTCCCAGAGATTCTGGCCTGTGGAGTCAGAAGTTGGTGGCTGCCCCAGCTGGCCTGCAGGCTCGGCCTCCCTGCAGTCCGTGGGCATCCCCAGGCTTTGCAGCTGCCTGCTCCACAGTCACTTGGTTGGACCAGCAGGCAGAGGAGCCACTCCCACTTCTTGCCACCCATTTCTGCATTTGGACAGATGGCACCCTCCCTCCTGGTGTCCCTGGCCTGAAAAACCCCAGACTGGGGCTCAGGGGACCAGGCTTACAGTGTGGGGCAAGGGGCTTCCCTGGTGGTGCAGTGGTTGAGAATCCTCCTGCCAGTGCAGGGGATACGGGTTTGATCCTTGGTCCAGGAAGATCCCACATGCCGCAGAGCAACTAAGCCTGTGCGCCACAACTACTGAGCCTGTGCTCTAGAGCCCGTGAGCCACAACTACTGAAGCCTGCACATCTAGAGCCTGTGCTCTGCAGCAAGAGAAGCCACCGCAATGAGAAGCCTGCACACTGCAACAAAGAGTAGCCCCCGCTCACCGCAACTAAAGCCTGCATGCAGCAACGAAGACCTAACACAGCCAAAAATAAATAAAATAAATTTATTAAAAAAAAAAAGAATATGGGGCAAATCACATTACATCTTTGGAGCCTCATTTCCAGAAGGAAGTGTTCTTAACTTGGGGTGTGTGAGCCCCTTGAAAATGTCCTCAAAATGTTCAGTTCATGTGTATCTTTCTGAGAAGCGGGTCCACAGCCTTCATAAGATTCTCAAAGGACTCTGAACCCCCTAAATGGGAACCCTGGGACCAGAGGATGCTCTGGGACCCCAGCTAGGTTCCAAGGACAGGGCTGGTTGGTGGGAAGGGAAATTGCCAGTTTTGCCTCCTCAGTGGGCACCTGTGTGCTGACCATCCCCTGGCTTTTCCAGACCACGTGACCAGAGAGAAGCTGGAGCGAATCCTGTCCCTGATCCAAGGTTCCCATCAGAAGGCTCTGGTGATGTAAGTGAGGCCCGACCCACACCTCCCTGAAAGGGGACCCTCAAGGAAGTGCTGGAAGGGCAAGAAGTTGCCCACAAGGCTCCCTGTAGGCTCCGCCTACTCTGGGGCAAATTCCAAAACCAGACACAAGCACCCATTCCTTTCACAGCTTGCAGAAGTGTTTCTTTGTGCTGGGTCTTGGACCAGCCCCTGGGGAGACCAAGGGGAACAAGAGATCCCAGCTGGCCTCCTAGGGAGTATATGAGCTAAGGGAAAGGAGAGCTAGGGGTCCGCACCATCACGGCACAGAACCAGGGGGCGGAAGTGGTCAACACAGGTATGACCGTTGAAGCCAAGGAGAGTGTGAGAGGGGGTCGGTCAGAGCCTGCAGTTAGGGATTGGAGGGGACAGAACAAGGCTGCAGCAAAGGTGGCTAGAGGGGTAGGGAAGGTGGAAAGCGAATGAAGAGCTTCAGGAAAGGCATGAATAGGGCAGGGCCAGGGGTAGGCAGTCAGCTGCCCACTCTGGTGCCTCCTGATCCCCAGGTACTCCAACGTTGACCTACAGACCCAGGAGGCCTATAAGATGGCCATGAGCGGCGTGCTCCGGCCCATGAACAAGTCCCCAATGCTGGTAACTGGCATCCGATGCCTCCAGTTTGCGCCTCCAGAATTCCTCTTAGGTAAGTTGCTCCAGGAAGTTGGGAGCAGTGCCACCGGGCTCCTGGGTTGGGGGCGGTCACTGTGGAAGGCCCTTGCAGAGGCCAGCACGTGTGAGCCCTAAGCTCCGCTGGCCAAGGCACCGGGGCCGACTTCCTTCCTAGCCTGAGGCTGGACTTGGCTGATCACACAGCGCACAGAACAAATGATGTCCTATCTCCTGCCAAGTCCCCCTTTGAAGCCAGACCTTAACAAGCAGAGATTATATTTAGTGGCTCGTTTCCAGAGCCGCCCAGTGTTTCAAGGCATTGTGCGGCATCAGGCACCACTCTCCCCTCCCGGATCCCACCCAACTCAGCAACCCGACCACCACTTCTTTCTTTGTTTATCGTATTAACGAGGGCTCCTTGCTCCTTTTCTTTCTTTTTTTTTTTTTAACAGCTTTATTGCAGTATAATTGCTTTACAATGGTGTGTTAGTTTCTGCTCTATAACAAAGTGAATCAGCTGTACATATACATATATCCCCGTATCTCCTCCCTCTTGTGTCTCCCTCCCACCCTCCCTGTCCCACCCCTGTAGGTGGTCACAAAGCACTGAGCTGATCTCCCTGTGCTATCTTGCTCCTTTTCTTGAGTGCTGACCAAGACTCTTCTGATGCTAAGTGCCTTATAGAAATTATTTCTTAGATTCCTCACAACCACTCATTTTACAGATGAGCAAACCAAGCCTTAGAGCAGCACTTTGCGAACTTTAACCTGCCCACAATCACCTGGGGTTCTTCTTTCCCCCCGCCCCCCGGCCATGCCACATGGCTTGCAGGATCTTACTTCCCTGACTAGGGATTGAACCCAGGCCCCGGCAGTAAAAGCGCTGAGTCCTAACTGGTGGACCGCCAGAGAATTCCCAACCTGGGATTCTTCTTAAAAGGCCAATTCTAGGAATTCCCTGGTGGTCCAGTGGTTAGGGCTTGGCACTTTCACTGCAGGGGGGCATGGGTTCAATCCCTGGTTGGGGAATTAAGATCCTACAAGCTGCGAGACCAAAAAAAAAAAAGGCAAATTATGACTCAGCAGGTCTGGGTTGGGCCTGAGATTCTGCATGTCTAACAAACTTTCAGGACCCACCCTGGGCTACACTTTGAAGAACAAAGCCCTAGAGAAGTAAGTTGTCTTGCTAAGGTTATTACATAGCCAGGAGGTCTCAAGGGATGTGGATCTAGATCAGCGGACACCAGAGGCTGTGCTTCTGACCACCACCTCTGTTGTGTGTCCCTGGCAGAGGTGCAGTGCATGCATGAGACGCAGAAGCAGCTGCGAAGGCTGGTGCACGAAATTGGCCTGGAACTGAAGAGCACCGCTGTCTGCACCCAGGTGCGGCGTACACGCGATGGTTTCTTCACCCTGGACGATGCCCTCCTAAGGACCCAATGGGACCTACCCAGCATCCAGGATGCCATCCAGTCCGCAGCACCCCGAGTGGCAGCAGAGCTGGAGAAGAACTTGAGGCCGGGGCTGGGCACCCAGTAGCCCTTCAGTCCAGGCTGGCCCTGGGACTCCGAGGGGCCAAGCTCTGCCTTGGGGCTGGAGAGCCATGCGGGACATTGAAAGGCCAGGCTGCTGGGGGAGCGGTGGGTGTATAAAGATAAGAATTGTTCATGAGCCAGAACTGATGACTGTGCAGAATGTGGGGGGTGGGCGGGAGCTTTTTAACACGTGACAGAAAACCAACAGGGACTTTCCTGGTGGTCCAGTGGTTAGGACTTGGTGCTTTCGCTGCCAGGACCCTGGGTTCAATCCCTGGTCAGGGAACTAAGATCCTGCAAGCTGCATGGCACAGCCAAAAGAAAAAAAAAGATGAACAGACTTGGCTTAGTTAAAAAGAAAAAAACTTCTGTACAGTGGAAAAGATGCTAAACGAATGACAGACTGATAAAACTATTTGTTATATACTTAAGAATTAATATCTATAATATATAAAGAGCTCTTATAAAACAATAAGAAAAAGATGACAAGAAAATGGGTCAAATGACATGCATTGTGTGTTTATACAGCAAAAGAAATCCAAATGGCCAGTAAACCTGAAATGATGCTCAACCTCTCTAATAATGAAAGACATTCAGATGAAAATGAGATGACTTTTCCTTGCCTTTCAAATAAATTAAGAAAAGATAACACCCAGTATTGGGGAGGATGTGAGAAGATGGGCAATCTGTACTGTTGGTAGGAATATACAACTGTGTAACCTTTTAGGAGTAATTTGGTAGTATGTATCAACATTTGAAATATTCCTGCCCCGGGGAATTCCCTGGTGGTCCAGTGGTTAGAATTCAGCACTTTCACTGCCGTGGCCCGGGTTCAATCCCTGGTCAGGGAACTAAGGGTCCTCAGCAGCCATGGCTCATGGGCCCAGCTGCTCCGTGGCACGTGGGATCTTCCCGGACCGGGGCACGAACCCGCGTCCCCTGCATCGGCAGGCGGACTCTCAACCACTGCGCCACCAGGGAAGCCCAATTTCCTCCTTTTTATTTGATAATTTCCACCAGAATACAAACATGCTATTTAATCTCCTATCTTAAAAGCAAACAAACAGAAAACAGCATGGCAGGTCCTCAAAAAATTAAACATAGAATTACCATATGATGCAGCGATTCCACTTCTGGGTATATACCCAAAGGAACTGAAAGCAGACTCAAACAGATGTTTGTGTACCCATGTTCAGAGCAGCATTATTCACAGTTGCCAAAAGGTGGAAATAATCCAAGTGTCTATCGATAGATGAATGGATGAGCAAAATGTGGTCTATCCACACAACAGAATATTATTCAAACACTAAAAAGGAAGGAGTTCCTGACACCTACTACAACATGGGTGAACGTTAAAGACATTATGCTAAGTGAAATAAGCCAGTCACAGGAAGACTAATACTGTGTGATTCCATTTATATGAGGTACTTAGAGTAGCCAGATTCACTGGGACGGAAAACACAATGGTGGTCGCCAGGGGCTGGGGAGTGGGGAGTTAATGTTTAATGTGTACAGAATTTCAGCTTTGCAAGGCAGAAAGAGATATAGAGATACACAGTGGTGATGGTTGCACAACAATGTGAATGTACTTAATGCCACCAAATTGTACACTTAATGACGCTTAAAATGGTAAATTTTATGTGTATTTTATGTATATTTTACCCTCAAAAAAGCTCCACACAGAAAAACAAGCATACTCTTTCTTAACTTTCCATCTCTCTCCAGTTGCTGCATTTCTCTGCCTCCTTTTTTTTTTTTTTGAGAAGTCAAAAGTTGTTTTTTTAATTTCAATTAGGTAAATATGTCTGTAAAAATCTTGGAAAATGAATTTTTACCTAAGGTCTGTTTTTTTTTTTTTTTTTGCGGTACGCAGGCCTCTCACTGTTGTGGCTTCTCCCGTTGCAGAGCACAGGCTCCGGACGCACAGGCTCAGCGGCCATGGCTCACGGGCCCAGCTGCTCCGCGCCATGTGGGATCTTCCCGGACCGGGGCATGAACCTGTGTCGCCTGCATCGGCAGGCAGACTCCCAACCACTGCGCCACCAGGGAAGCCCTAAGGTCTGTTTTGATTAAAAACAAGGATACATATATTCTAAATCATTTCAGAATTATTTACAGAACAAAAAATTCACGGACAGAACAAATACACTAGATAAGGCAAAATGTTATGGTTTAAATTCTGTTTATAGGAAGCAAACATTTGAGATTGTATCAAAATACAAAATTGGGAAAAAATCTGCTTCTAAAGAATTAGATTAAAATGGAATGATGTGGAAGAGCTTAAAGCCAAAAATATATGTTACAGAAACCTACACCCAATTAAGGAAAAGACAACAATATTAATATCCAGCAAAAATAATAGAAGAGAAGCACAGTCAGTGATGAAGACCAATCAAACTTGAACTTCAACGCGCCAAATTAATCGGCATGCAATTAAAAACAAGGTTAGGGACTTCCCTGGTGGCGCAGTGGTTAAGAATCCACCTGTCAGTGCAGGGGACACAGGTTCGATTCCTGGTCTGGGAATTTCCCACATGCCACGAGCAACTAAGCCCGTGTACCACAACTACTGAGCCTGTGCTCTAGGGCCCACGTGCTGCAACTACTGAAGCCCACACACCTAGAGCCCACGACAAGAGAAGCCACGGCAATGAGAAGCCCGTGCACCGCAAGGAAGAGTAGCCCCTGCTCACCACAACTAGAGAAAAGCCCACGTGCAGCAACAAAGACCCAACGCAGCCAAAACAAAACAAAACAAAAAAAACAAGGTTAGCCACTGAAAGACAAACCAACAACTTTCTAATTTTACTGGCATGCTTTAACACATGACCTTATTTCACCCTACACAAGAATACCTGAATTTAAAACAGAGGATTTGGTTAATCCAATCAACACAATGGAACTCACGGATATGCAAGTCCTTATGCTTTACTAAGATTTTACTCACATTTTACATCTCTATTTGAACATATGTTCAATGGGCTATTTATATATAACTTTTCTTTATAAATTTTTAAAAAATTAAAAATAGTTGTGTACATTAAAAACCTAAAGTGCTTTTCTTTTTCTTTCTTTTTTTTGGCCACGCAGCTTGCAGGATCTTAGTTCCATCACCAGGGATCCAATCCTACCCTTTTAAGAATAAAGGTGGGGCTTCCCTGATGGCGCAGTGGTTGAGAGTCCGCCATGGGCGCTGAGCCTGCGCGTCCGGAGCCTGTGCTCCGAAACAGGAGAGGCCACGACAGTGAGAGGCTGCATACTGAAGAGACACATCAGCAATTGCACATGCAAGGGGAGAAAGATTCCAGAGAGTATATCTTTTCTTCCCTTCTTTGCCCTTATCCATCAAAACCAGAAAGGGGTATGAATTCCAATGATCAGGAATTGGCTCTCGAACTTGTTAGCTGACATCTCAGTGTCCGCTGGCTCTAGAGGCCTCAGGCAGCTTCTGTTCCTCGGCCTCCGGCTGCTCCCACATCACCGAGTTGCACAGCTGCAGCCTCTGCCTCCTTTAAAAGTAAAACTCCAGGCTTCCCTGGTTGCGCAGTGGTTGAGAATCCATCTGCCAATGCAGGGGACATGGGTTCAAGTCCTGGTCCGGGAAGGTCCCACGTGCTGTGGAGCAGCTGAGCCCGTGTGCCACAACTACTGTGACCGCGCTCTAGAGCCCGTGAGCCACAACTACTGAGCCTGCGTGCTGCAACTACTGAAGCCCACGTGCCTAGAGCCCGTGCTCCGCAACAGGAGAGGCCACCACAGTGAGAAGCCTGCGCACCGCAACAAAGAGTGGCCCCCGCTCTCTACCACTAGAGAAAGCCTGCACGCAGCAACGAAGACCCAACGCAGCCAAAATTAAATAAATAAATAAATTTATTTTTTAAAAAAAGAGTAAAGCTCCTGGAAAGATTGTCTCTAGTCGCTGCCCCCAGTTCTCACCACATGCTCCCTGGAACCCACTCTAATCAGACACTCACTCTCCACTGCTTTCCAGGAACCGCTCTTGCCAAGGTCAAGGACGACCTCCTCCTCTTTAAATCCAGTGGCTCCTTCTCAGCAGGGTGTGACACAGCCGGTCACTGCCTCCTCCTGGAACAGTCTCCTCCTCCCTCCCTGGCTCCTTCTCAGCCTATTTGCTGGGGCCCCTCCTCCCCTGCTCTCCTCCGCGGTGCCCACAAGCTCCAGGCAGCTCTACTCTCGGCCCTCACTCGCTCCTTGAGGATGTCAGTCTGAAATCACATGGCTTGAATCCCATCAATCTGTCATGCTGCTGGTGCCCACATTTATGTTACCTCTCACCGGACCTTTCCCATGAACTCCATTCCTAAATATCTGTTCTTTAGCATTTCCACTTCCGTGTTGAGCTGGCATCTCAAACCTAACAGATCCCCAGACTGACTGCTTATCTTCCCCTGCACCCTGCTCTCCCCCAGAACTCCTCACTCCAGTAACTCACAGTTCCACCCTTCTACTCGCTCAGGCCCAAATCCTAAAAGCCCCCTTTTCCTCACACCCCATATTTAACCCATCAGCAAATCCTGCTGGCTCTACCGTCAAAAGACTGTTGTTTCCAGAACCTGACCCCTTCTTTCCTCCCTCCCTCCCTCTCTTTCTTTAGTTCCCCATCTGGGATGAACCGGTGCCCCCTGCCGTGGAAGCGTGGAGTCTCAACCACTGGACCGCCAGGGAAGTCCCAGAATCTGACCATTCACCTCCGTCCACTTACCCCCTCATTTTGCTGTACACCTGAAACATTGTAAATCAACTATACTTCAGTTAAAAAAATGCTATTTATAAAATTTAAAAAAATATATGTATTCGGCAGGGAGGGGAGGGAGGCCCAAATTTTCTGAGCTTCAGGTCCCAACCCTTTTTGGGCTCGTGGCATGCAGGATCTTAGTTCCCCAACCAGGGATCAAACCCGTGCCCCCTGCCGTGGAAGCATGGAGTCTTAACCCCTGGACCGCCGGGGAAGTCCCTGGGTCCCAGCCCTTCTTCGTCAGTGCCAGCACCCGCCACCGCCGGAAGGATGATTTATTTTTTAGTTGCTTTATGGTCTGTCTCGCCCACCTTAGATGAATGAATATCAATACCCAGATAACCGCAGGTTTCAAGGTAACGAATTTTCTCTTCTTACGTTCCCCAGCTCACTCCCCCACCCCACCCTATTGCACCACGAATATTAGCTCATTAAGGCCCCACTTTGAGCTGTAAGGACCTTGCATTGCCAGGGGAGCCAGGAATATGCTTAGAACGCCCAAATCTATCATCCTAACAATGAGCTGACATTTGCCTATTTCATTAGAGTCATTAATCCAGCTTTTATATCTATGATCATTTGTGAAGTGGCCATGGCAGGTATTATTTTACCTACTTTACAGATGAAGAAACTGAGGTCTGGGGAGGTCCCGCCACCACCAGCCCAGCCTCCTGCATCTGTCTACACATGGCATGGCCTGCTGAGCTTTAGCTCTGGCCATAGAATAAAAACAAACAAAACCCCGTTCCCACCACCGTATCATCATCTGATCTCTTCTGCAGTATCCAGTCAGACCCTGACTAACCCCCTCCTTCGAGCACTTCAGCAGGAGGCGTGGGACTCACCTG